GGTAAGAAATGTACGCATTATCCTGCCCATGCAATTGTAACCCCTCTGTACAGTATGTTCACAAATAAAATAAAATAAAATTAAAAAAAAATGTATTTCTTGCCAAGCACTGCTCATGCCTGTAATCCTACCTACACAGGAGGCTAAGATTTAAGGATCACAGTTTGAAGCCAGCCTGGACAGGAAAAGTCTGTGAGACTATTGGCTCCAATTAAACACAAAAAGCAGGAAGTAAAGCTGTGGCTCAAGTAGTAGTATATTAGCCTTGAACAAAAATTGTCCAGAGATAGTGCCTAAGCCCTGAGTTCAAACCCCAGTATCAACACACACACACACACACACACACACACACACACACACACACACCCAAAAGGCTTTTTTTAGTTTGTTCCCCCACCACTGGGTGTGGAGGCATTGATATATTTTTTGTTTTTCTTAAAGTTAGTCTGATCAGTTTTGCACCTTCTTGGCTAATTTGTTTGCCCATCTCTAATTCATAGCACTCAGATTTTTTGTTCTGTTGCCTGCCCCAAAACACTTACTGTCAGTCAAAAGATGAAGCTGATCCATATAACTCCATGTAGGGTAAGAAATGGTTGACTGAACGTTACTGAAAGTATGGAGAATGTGTTTCTGAATATTATAACTTTTTTTTTTGATTGTGGGGCTTGAACTGTGGGCTTGGGTACTGTCCCTGCACTCTTCAGCTCAAGGCGAGCGCTCTACCGCTTGAGCCACAATGCCACTTGCAGTTTTTCTAGTGGTTTATTGGAGATAAGAGTCTCACGGACTTTCCTGCCCAGGCTGGCTTTGAATCATGGTCCTCAGATCTCAGCCTTCTGAGTAGCTAGGATTACAGGCGTGAGCCACCAGCGCCCAGCCTTTCCTACCTTCCTTTTAAATTAACAAATTAATTAGTGACTTACTTAACAGCTGGTACATTGCTTATACCTGTATTAATCTTCAAGCAGGAGCCTATTCTAGAATCTGCAGAACATAGAAGTATAGACACTGCTTAGAAGGAGCATGACATTGTTTCCTGGAAGAGCTCTTGGCAACACCAGGTTCTGTGAGTAGCAGGTTATGGCCTTTCTGGGCTCCATCATCTTCCATGCCCCGTCTGTTTTCTGGCTCTTTGGGAGAGTTCTCTTTTATTCTGGTGGTATCACCACAAAACCCAATGTCCAGACCACAGACAGGAATGCCTCTGACATGCAAGAGTGGATGGGAGTGTTCTCGCTGCTTAGTCTAGCCCACCGGTGCGTGGCTCAAAGCTCTGGGTCAATGGTTAGAGTCTGTCTGTGAAGGCAGCCCAGGGGGACAGGTTGGTGACATTCCTGAAGCCACTGCCTGCAGCTGTGCCTGCAGCTGTGCTTAGTGTTCAAGAGAGCCTTCCCAGTAGGTCCCACAATACAGCATCTTGGCATTTAGGCAAGTATGAGCTGGATTTCTATCACCTGTAACCAAGGGAGTCCTAATGAATATGCCATTTCATTTGCAGAATTAGTCATGGGATTCATCAGTTTGTCTTGAACCCTTTCCATTTCTTCATATTTGGGGTTGTCAGTGCTCATACAAACGCTTACAATGAAAGTGACATCTCAGTGCAAGCAACATTTCGCCTAGAAGCTCATGTCAAACAATTCTTTATTTTTTTATGGTACAAATTAAAAGTGACAGATCTGAAGCTGTTAAGAAATACACAAAGTGCAGCTTTACCGACCATACAGATATTGCTCTAGATTAAGTACAGTTTTTTTTTTTAAACATTAAGCAACCTGTGCAGATAAATCAGCTTTGGTTTCAATGTCAGAGCAAGTAAGGAGCTTTTAAATATCCAGTTTGGCTTTTTGGTCACGAGTCTCTCGTGTCAATGTCTCATCATGATGATTTTTCCAGAACAACCCAGTCTGTGTTCCTGCCCCTCCCCCCCTCCAACTGCCTGCTCAGGGCACGGAGGAGCAGGCTGCTCAGTGATCCTGGTGACCAATTTAGATCACAGCTCAAAGGACAAACAAGTAAAATATTAAAATAATCAAAAAATTTAAAAAAGGATCACTTTCTTAACAACAAATGAACAAATGTGCCTCACATAATTTCAAGTTGAAGATAAGCAAGTCACACGACAAAAAGCTCATTACAAAATGTTATCCAAACAGATTTTACAGTCAAACATGGAAATGAAAATCAATTTCCTTTTTTTCCTCCATTTTTTTTAAGCTTGGTCATTAACTGGGTACAAGTAGAGTGTTGAGGTAAAAACATTGATGAACAGTTTGTATTTTTGTTAATTTTCTTTCTTAAAATAGGAACAGTTTAGTATTGCAAGATTGTCAGCAACATTTAGCCATACCTACACAATGTGCATATACCTACAAATACTGAGCTTTGGTCCAGCATAAAGAAGACGAGCAAAGGCAATTTATGATTTCTTTTTGGTTATAGCTTGAGTTCTTTGATACACCTCTACTTGTATTGTTTTTTTGTTTTGTTTTTGTTTTTTTTTGTATTTTTCCCCTAGCTCCTTTTACTTTTTTTGTTCTTTCTTTGTGATGCTGTGTGTGTGTGTGTGTGTGTGTATGTGTGTGTGTCTGAGTGTGTAACCATGTGATTACAACATAAAGAAACCCAAACTTGCAAATGCAAGTGAAATCTTGAACTGTTCAAAATATTTCTTTTTGGTTGAGAGAAAATAAAAACAAAACCCCACAATGTGAAACACAGTATCCATTGTCATTTTTCTCATCAAATACTGAAGGAAATGAAGATGAAAATAATGTATGAGATTTTAAAGCTTGAAATACAATCACATATGGCCAAAGTGGCTTTTATTATTATTATTATTTTGTTGTTGGTGGCAACCTAAACCTTCAGTTCATGGAAACGTAAAGGACGCATAAATGTTATTGGCATAGGAAAGTTGTTTACAAGAGGAAATGAGAAAAATTCATAATAAAATTCAGCAATAGGTGTGGGCTCAAAGACTTATGTGTTATACTGTATAATTTATATTCCTAAGAATCTGTTTAGGCACCTTTTTAGGCCTTGTAGCAAAAAATTTTATCTGTAAAAAATTAATATAAGAAGCATTACAACACTTTATAAATAATTTATAAAACAATACAAAATTAGAAAACTATAAAAAAAATCACTGCACATGAATGGTTTCATGACTGCGGGATGAATACATTTTTTCATTCTACTTGGGATGTCTGCTTTTATTTCACATTTTCACCTCCCAAATATAGACCTCAGAGCTGAACAGGCCTTTTGTGACCACTGCTGGTACATAGTTAATCATTTAGCATCTATCATATGTTACCTTGTTAATTTCTCTTCTTAGGGGAGCTTTTCTTGATAGAATTTGGAGCAGGTCCTAGGAGAATACAAATAAAGTTTGGGGGTTTGATCAATAACATTGATTAAGTTTGATCAATAAAGTTTGGGGGGTCCTGGGGTATAGGTTTTATACAGGTTTTGTGGTGGCAAAAATGATATTTTTGGCATTGATAGTTGTGGTCCAATTGGCATCAGCCAGGTGAGACAAAACATCTTTCTTTGAGACCAGTCCCATTTCCAGGGTTACTGGTATTATTACAAATTTCCTTGTTTACAGTGACCTGATTGCTGCATGAATCTTTTTTTTTGTTTTGTTTTGGGCTGGTCCTGGGGCTTGAACTCTGGGGTTGGGCACTGTTCCTGAACTTTGGTGCTCAAGGCTAGCATTCTACCAGTTGGAGATAAGAGTGTCACAGTTTTTTGCCCAGGCTGGCTTTGAATCCTGATCCTCAGATCTGAGCCTCCTGAGTAACTAGAATTACAGGCATGAACCACTGGCGTTTGGCTACATGAATCTTTTGAGAAGACAAATATATGGTCTGAGTTACCCAAACAACCAAGGAACCAAGAGAAGAAGCAAGTAGAACTCCTTGGGGAGGGGTGGATTAGGGGCCCCAGGAAGTGAAATTTCAGTGGGGAAGGTCAAGGTGGAATTTTCTCTTTTCTTGATCATGATTTGCCTCTAGATAGTGCATGAATAGTATTATTAATTACTGATGCATCAATATTGACATTTTGATGATAGGCAAATTGATGGTTCTCTTTTGCCTGCTCCTTTGACAGAATGTCTCCTGTCTCTACCTGGGTGACAGCATCAGCTACAATTCCAAGTGTTCACCTAGCCAGCCATTCTCAGAATATTCTTTGGGCTTCATAGGGTACCATGGTCCCCTATGCCTTAGCGAAGTTGTTTATTTAAAATGAACTTATCTTCTAGTTCTAACAATGAAAGCTATTCTGTATCTCATATGAGCTACTTCTATAGATTTTTCATTAATGGAGATTTTTTCATTAATGGAGACACTTCACTGTGAAAACTCACTTTCTGTTCAAGAACCCAGCCCTCTCCCCAATTCCAGTG